AAAAAAAAAAAAACAATGAAATCAACTACAATTCCCTTTAAATTCACCCCAAATATTTCAATCACCACTCCCACAACCAAACATCTAACATTTTGGCTTAATTGAACCTGCAAACATCTCAGATCAAGAAGCCCTAGACTTGTTGTTGAACTTCATATACCACCTAGTTATCTCAAATCCGCTTGTCTCTAGTGGTATTATGAATACAAATCTGCTCAATTTCAACAACAAACGAGAAATGCCAAACTATTTGACTAGAAACTTTGAAAAATGAACTTATTACAGGACAATGAATCCCTCTGGTGGATCTCAGACTCCTTACCTTTCAGGTTTTATTGTTGGGAAAAATAGCGATGGCATTCTGAATGATCTCTTGTTGAACTCCTCAAAAAGTGGAATACATAACGAGGTTTGCTTCGTCTCTAATTTCTCTTTTCTAATTCAATATAGCGTGCAAATTGTTATCTATATTAGCTTTCCTGTTGCAGAATTAAAAACATCATTTTTCTTGCATCCATACATCTGTATACCAAAAATAATCACTCCGTCTCTGCATTCTAATTCACCTGACAATACTAATCTTCTAATTCTTATGCGAAACTGTCTTTCTGGTTCTACATATTATTCTCTATCAGCTATTGCATATTATGCTGTAAATCTACATCTCAATCTATATTGTAGCTACCTTTTTAATCTTTGGAATGTTTTAAGTCCTTGCTATCTCTGGTTTAATGTTTGGATATCTTTGAAAGGACAATCTTATGTTCCTTCTTGGTTTGTAAGAGCTCTCTATCTGATGTGTACTATACGATTTAGTTTTGGATCTCTATTTCTAGTTTGGGTTTTTAAGATTATCAATTTATCACTACTATGTCTATATTTACATGGAACTTGAGAAGATTAGGTAATGACCAAACAAAACGTGTTCTTGATTTAATGAAAGAACATAAACCAGACATAAATTTTCTCTCTGAGATAAAATGTTGTACAAATTCAACTTTGGAACTTATAAATTCACTAACATCATCACTTGATTGATCATGTCCATCAAGCTGGTGGTCTTGATCCTGCTCCCGTGGTCTAATAGTGTACATCTTGAAGTAAATTCTTCTAACAAACACATCATTAATATAACTATCCTACATCACTTTTTCAACCAACCCTACCCCACTTCTTTCTTTTATTATAGTCCTGATACAAATTAATTATGCAAAATACTATTGAATGCAGAATTAAACAATAGCAGTAATAAAGATGAAGACAAAACACAACTCGAAGAAAACTATCTTTTTTAATAAGTATTATGAAGATTACAATAATTTCTGACTCACAATACTCTCTAGACAACTAAACCCTAGCCACCTCATTAAACACACTAAACCTTAATGGTTTCACTATATTTTTTGTTTATGCCAAAACATCTTTATTTGTAGGATTTGGGTCAACTCTTAGTTGGCCAAGGAAAAAAATTTCTTTATTCCTCAAATTCTATTACTTGTAAAACAAAGAAAACTATTTTTAAGGTTTTCCATCATTTGTCCTACATGGATATAATTTCTAGTTCCCAAATAGAATACACCTGTATCATGGCTCCCCCTTTTAGGAACTTAAACTCTTGTTTAAGTTAGAAACAAAGAATAGGGAACTTGAGAGCTCCCTAGTTTTTGCTGAACCATTTAGCTTTGTTTCAAACTTGACCAGCACGCACAATGCGAAACACTGTTCGTTTCCTACTTCGCATCTTAGTTACCTTGTGCTCCAATATGCAATCTTTCTTGAATGTATACCCTCGATCAACCCAAGGACATGTCATCAAGACAAACTTCCCACAAGTATTTACTAACCTTTTAGCATGTGTTGGTGTTGTTGTTACCAACTCAATTCCTTTTGGAAGGGGGAATCACTCAAATAACAAACTGTTCTTCATCCTCAGTGAATGTATACTACTGAGCTCTCCTCTATAAAAAAAAACACACACACACACACCTATCCCACAAGTAGGGATTTTCTAGAATAACCTGATAGACATCCAATGGAACCATGTCACATGTTACAACATCGATGTAAGACTCATAAAGAGCAAACTTGAACTTGTACTGGTTCTACACACTCAAGCTGGTTTCTTTCTGAATCCAACCTAACGGATAAGGCTTGGGATGCTTCACGGTCTTCAAACCAAGCTTTTGTACTAAAGCTTCTGAAATCATATTTTTCTGACTACCCCGGGATCTACAATAGTATCCACCAAACTAGTATTTGATAAACGCTCAAAAGTGTATATATATCCCTCTAACTCATGTATATTTGTCCCAAGTTAATAAGTTATGATATAAAGTAATATGATATGTTTGGTATTGTTAGAATTACGTGTTTGCAGGTGTGTTTCACTCGGAAAAGCTTAAAGGAAGCAAAAATCAGCAGAAAACCAGTTTCAAAGAGCCAACTTGACGCAATTAAACTAAAGGGTTTGAGAGCCTGGATTTTAAGGTTCAAATATGCATTTGAAAGCTCTCACTTCCTAATTCAAGATTGTCAAGAAATATTGCAGAAAATGGAGATGGCACTAGACCAAAAAGCCTCGTCAAAACTTGTCAAACCGATTCTACTACTGGTCGTTTTTTGCCTTTTTAGCCGTCATATTTCTATAAGGAATTTGGATCCAATATTTTTACTTAGTGTCCCACGTTCTTTAACTAAGAGCTCTGCAAAATTTCAGCTCCAGAAGCTTTCTACAAGTTATTTAACAAATTGCAAACTCTTTTCTAGCAAGTTTCAAGTAGTTTAGGGTTAGTAAGACTCCTCCCTATATAAGGAAAGGAAGACCATGAAATTCATTATGCTTTGATCTTAAATTGAAATATCATATTAGGTTTCACATTATTTTATAAAGAAGAAGAAGTTCATTTGATTATATTTCAAGTCTATTTACTTTTCAAGTTCAAGTTCTTTATTTTTCAATCGTATCTTTACTTTTCATGAAATTTAATTTTTCGTCTTTAAATTCTTGTCTTTTTATTATGTCTTTTACATCTACAATCATCATCATCATGAGCTAATCAATTCATGGGGTGTTACAAATGGATTAGGTAAATAGAAAAATTTACTACAAGTGTTATGTTTTCCATGCTTGAAAGGTAATTATTTTATGATTGATTACCGTAGAATAGTTTTTGCTCTTTGTTCTTCATAATAAATAAAAGAGAGATCTTTTTGCATGTGTAGAGACTTTCAAGTTTCAAACCTCATACATCTGTTAACATATTTTGGCATCGAGAGAGAAAAAATAGCTTAACATTTAGTATAAAGATTTTTAATTCATTACTTGCATCACGACATCGAGATGAGAGGTACTAGGTTCTGAATACTTCTTGAGGTCGGTGAGTTCCTGGGTCGAGAGCAAGGGAACTCACTAGCAACTATGGCATCGAGATGAGAGATAGTTTGAATGCATGGGAAACAAGTACAAGTAGTTAATTTAGATATTTACCTAAGAAGCAAAATAATATTCCGCCTTTCCTTCCATATTCACAACCTTTACTTTTGCTTTACTTAACTTGCATTTATATTACCATAGTTTAATTCACTCAAAATTATCCTCAATCTATCAAACTTCAACATGTCGTTAATTATCCATTATTCCCTTCCATAAACGACATCTTGATTACTCTCTTGAGTATTTCGACACTTAAGTCACCCAATCCTTTGGAAGAGTGGATTGATACTCAAGACTTACCTCTACACTAGTTTTAGGATTAGTATAGTTGTTAGAATCAAAAAGGAAAATTATTTGACCCGTACGATAGAATTCACCTTTTGTTGTACCAAATTGCCGTCGTTTCCGCTCTAAAGAGAACTAAGGTGAGGTCGTTGTGAGAAGCATTAGAGTCGTCAAAGCATACCCACAATTTCCACCCACCCTTTAGTTAAATAGAAATACAAAA